GCGTTTGAATTTACGAGATATTATTACATTACTGTTTTCTTATTAATTTTCTAATTCTTCTCGTTCAATTCGACAATGTTCTTGACAATTATCTTTAATGTTAACAAATATTGATACAGATAATGTCGATGCTACAACATTAGTTGAAATGTTTGTAATATATTTGTCAGTATTCAATAGAAACATTATAAAATAGTTTTTTCTTCCTCCGAAGCATTACTTTCGTTGTGTAATTGCATAATTACTTATATAAGTCTATGGCAATAATCTTCAATCGCGCCGATTATGAATACCTTGTTGAGTGTGTTTGATGAACATACAATCATGTTATCGACAGTTATCTATCAGTTTTATCCATATCGTTGTTTGTCGACATCAATCAAACAATAGAATGCATTCACTCCGTTAGAGAATCCACGAGGTCAAATCATTTTGATATTTCAAAAAAAAACAGGTGTAATGCATGTAGGATTTCCTCAGTATGTCGTTACAAACAAAAAAATATTTTAAAAATTAGCAACATATTATAGAAAACAAATCAATTTAACTTGAATTCAATACTGTACTAAATTCTTATCAAAAGACAATTGAAAATTATTTCGTAGATCTAATTAAAGAACAAAAACTTTCAATATCTGAAAACATAGATAGTAAATCATATTTTATTGACGTATGAATAAATTTATAATAAAAGCAGCATTAGATAGATACAAAAATTTTTAATCTAATCATAATAACGAAACCATGATGAGAAAAATAGCAGATTATTGACTTATGGCGAGTCACTTGGGTCGATCGACAGTCACTACACAGAATATTATGAGAAAAAATATAAAAATATTCGTATTGTGCTAAAATTTTATAGTGTCAGAATTTAATGACAAATCATTTACAGTAAGTAGTTGACTATAATTTTTACAATCATTTTTGATAGGATAATTGATGATTGAAACTATTTCAAGAGTACATAGAAAACTTTCAATTTTGAGTAAAAATAAAAACAAAACAAAAGACAAATTTTATCTATCATCATCGTCCAATCCTATTAAAGATATTTTCTGTATAACTTTCAACACGTCTCAAATATTTCAAGATGATCAATCATGAATTCAATATGAATAATTTTTTTTTTTGTATAAATAATCTTCATTTTCTATTAGATGACTATTAATGCTTTTTCTAAACATCGTTTTCTAGTTGAAACTTTTCGTTTCTGTTGAATTAGATATAAATTTCATCCTTATAAAGTCAAATTACTATTAAAAAGCATCTAAACAGAAAATTGAAATATAGAATAGGGTGAAAATTTTTCTCGGTGCAAGTACAAAGTACGAAAAAATTTTATTTCAGACATTTCTAATAGAAAATAATTCTTTCTTTTTCTGACAATGACTTGTGTTAAAATAACACTATTTTCCTAAGTAAATTTTTAGTTTATATTTTTTTGAACACAGTATGTCATGATATTTTTTTAAAAGCTTCATCAGACACAAACATCCTTCAACAGGTAAAAATCATTATCAAACTATTAGAATATATTTATAGTAAAGGGAGTGGTCACCTTGGATTGTTTTACTTAGACAGATGGAAAATACTTCATTTGCATAATCTCATATATAAAAAAGATTACTTTGTTAAATTTGTCTCTATTAAATATTCACAGTTTGAAATCAACATGCTAACAATATTATATATTATTCAACAATATACAATATATGTTGGATTTTTTCTTTTGATAACTGGTATTCTTGGTAATACAATTAATATCTATATCTTCTCAGCTGTAAATTCTTATCGTAGAACACCATGTACTTTTTATTTTCTAATTGCATCTATATGTGATTTACTTATAATATTAATTGGTCTTTTATCACGTATTCTCGAAATTGGTTATGACTTTAATTTATTGAATTCTTCTGTGGCTTGGTGTAAAATTCGACAATATTTTATAGCTAGTATATGTATTATTCCATTCTATTGTCAATGTTTAGCAACAATTGATCAATTTTTTGTTACATCTAAAAATGTCTATTTACGACAATCTAGTACTATTAAACAAGCTTATTGGAATAGTATATTTTTAACAATAATTTGTTTAATTCATGGTATTCCATTTTTTATGTATTATGATATATCATCAACGACAAAATTATGTTCATCAATGAATATTGTATTGACTTTGTATCTTCCAATATTTGTTCTTGGAATATTTCTATTTATACCAACTATATTAACAATTATATTTGGATTTCTTACCTATAAAAATGTATGTCAATCAAAAGGTCTTACGAATCAACATGCTGATCGTCAATTAGTTAATATGATTTGTATGCAAATAATAATAATTATTTTAGCTACTATTCCATATGGAATTTATAATATTTATTCATTAGTAACAATTAAAACTATTAAAGATAAAGATCGTTTAAATAAGGAATCATTAGCCTTTACAATTATTTCTCTCAATACATATATTTATACTAGTGTATGTATGATATAAATTTTAAATGATAATTTAAAAAAAAACGAAAAAAACTTTTTTTCTTAATATTTTATAGGGTAGTTTTTTTGTTTTTATGATTTCTTCAAGTCGTTTTCGTCAAATGGTAAAGAAACGAATTTTTTGTCGTCGAACTGCAAATCAAATTAGTCCACAACAATTAAAATGAAGACCGTTGAATTCTAGATTTTAGAATAAATATTATAATATACTAAGACAAAAAATGTTTTTCTTTGCATGTCATCATTGATAAGGTGCCAGTAATGCAAAGTTTCCACAAATTTTTTTTTTTCTTTTTTCACATATATTCTGATTCGTCCTGAGTTGCTGATCACGAATATCACCTTATTTTTTGATTTAGGTCAAGTAATCATAGAGAACCACTC